CCCCAAAACCCCAAAACCCCAAAACCCCAAAACCCCAAAACCCCTTTCTTGTATAATTAAATTGAATATAATATTTGATTACATAATGCACAAGAAGAAGGTGAAAATTATGTTTAACAGAAAGCTCAGCGGGAAGAAAACTGAAGGCAGCAAATTAGGATCACACTATACCGCAAGAGGAAGGAAGACTAGCTCAATAGAAGACAAAGCTAGCATAGCTGAAATTTCAGCTAAGAACAATAATCCTTCAACAGGAAGACATTGAATTGAGACTAAGAACAAACTGAATTATAGCCCAATGAGCATTAATGGAAAACTAGCTTATGGAAATATGGGGTCTTCAACTCCTATAAACTTTAAGAAAGCTCCTCCTGTGTCTTTGAAATCTGGAAAATTTATCAACACAGATAGACCTAAAACCGGTATGATTCATTCACGAGTTAAAGCATGTAAATCTAGAAGAGCAGAGCCTCGGTCAGTAAATCTTTTCGAAAAAGACCCAATCAAAGACTGCGCTGAAGAAAAAGAAACTGGTGAGAATAAATCTGGTCTAAACAGCTACATTAGCGAGAGTCATCGGCTTTCTAAAACTGGAGGAATTTATGGGAAATATTCGACAGGAAAACATTTAGACAACAAAGTATCTTCCAAACTTTCTCATGAAGTAATGCATGTTAAGGGACAATTTGTCCATGGCTCACCAAAAGAAAGGAATGTAGCATCCTTTATGCCAACGAATGCAAAATCAGTTGAGAAAATGGAGTCGATTAAAAATACTAGCAAGATTAGACCGATTCTGGTAAGCTTACAAGTGTCCTAATTCTTATTCCCTCTAGAGTTCAACTAAAGCAACTGAGAAGAAAGCTGTCAAAGGAGCCCTAAAAGCGAAACGGAAGGGAACTGCTACAGATTTTAGGAAAAGAAAGAGCACAGATAGTTCAGGGAAAACTTATCAGGCAACAGCAAAGAGGAAGCCTCACCAAAAAGGGTCAAATCTTAAAGGAAAACCAGATGAAAAACCTAAACCTTTGATGAGTTTCAAAACCTCTTTAGAAAAGAAACCCCATATCATTGTTGAAGGGAGACATGTTGAGATAGACTTTTGAGAGTTAGAGAGAAGGCCAGAACCTCCAAGGTCTAAGTCATGAATGAAGAAGGCTACCAATACAGAGAAGCCAAAGGCTACTAAAACTGTGACATTTGCAGATAGATTAATCGTCAATGAGGACTCTTTAGACTCCGATATGATGGAAAGGATTCATCATAACTTGGAGTATAATGATGATAGAATATTCGAGAATCTTAGTATTTTCCAACAGCTCTCAAGAGACAATAGTGAAATTAAGCCAGCCACAGAGGATACTAAAAAGGTAGAAGATAGGAAAGAAAATGAGGCTAGCAATGACCAGCCCGCTATAGGTGATTCTGGCAATAAAGATTTCACTGATATTGAGCAAAACCAAGGAATCCTGAGCAGCTGTGAAGAGTCAGGAGCTATAAATGATTCAAAGAAGGAGAAGAAACCAAAAGAGCCTTTCTTTGAGGCACAAGTCTCTGTGATTGAAAGAATGGAAGAAACCAAAGAAGCCTATGAAATTATAAAAGAATTCTCAAATCTAGATTTTAGTAAGAGCGGGAATCAGGAAAACAGCTCTGGTTTTATGAAGCTAAATGACAGTCTAATCAAAAGCAGAGAAGTCCTAAAGGACAAGAGTATTAAAAGAGAGTCTATTAAACAATTGAGCAGTAATAAGAAGATAAAAGACTCCTTTTTATTTAAAAATATGGAACAACAAGATGAAAGTTCAGTCAATTACAAGCAATCTCCTTCTTTAGTTGGAACAAAGGAATTCTTAGAAGGGAAACCTCAATCCTCTAAGAATTTAGAAAACAAGATTGACAATATAAAGAAAGATTCAACTCAAATGGAGTTTGAAGCAGACTTACCTAATGACAACTTCTTTGAAGAGAAAGGAAGTGAGAGCATAATTGAAAAGAATGATGAAGAATCTAAATTTGTCGATGAGGAATCCTACAGCATGGTGTATCTCACCAAACAGCAAAATAGTAATAATCCCCAATCTTCTTTAAAGCTCAATTTTGCTAATTCGTTAGACAACAATACTAAAGAGTTGTCCAAGATCGAAGACATAGAAGGTTCGGAGGATAACAAGGATGATGAGAAGATAAAGCTGGAGTACAGCAGTCAGAAGCAAGAGGAGGAAAACTCAATTAGCCAAATGAATTCTCCAATGTTTAAAGCCGAATCCACTATTTCGTATAATCAAGACCCTAGTAAAATAGAAGTAGACCCAGAGAAATCAGATACTATTGGGCTAATTCTTGAGGAGGAAGCCAAGAGTAAACCTGAGAGGCAAGATATTGCTATTGAGAAGCAGGATAGCACATCGGAGAAACCATCTGCAACCAAGGATATACACAAAAAGGTAAGCGAATTCAACTCTCTCAGCGAAATCTTTGGAGATCGAGTCGATTTCGACATGTCAACTATCAAGGAGATGATGGAATCACTTGAAGAGGATTCTTTTCAGTTTGCTAATTCAAAAACAGAGATTAACAAGCCTAAGGCTGGGCTCAAGCTCACTCCAAGAGATGAGCGTTCTCAGAATAGTTTTGAGAAAATCATTAAATATATGAAGAAAGAGATCTCCAAAATTGATACAGTAAAAAGAAGAGAAAAGAATCCAGAAAAAGTTGCTAATATTATCAAGAACTTTATCCAGAATGTGAAAAGGATCGAAATTTCTCCAAGAATTGAAGAGAAATCAGGAAATATTCAATTCAAAGCTTCTCAGCAATTAACCAGTAACATGGAGACTCCAGAGCCTAAGGAGGATATTCCTAAGTCACAGACAACTGTCAGTGTAAATACTGCAGCAACAAAGAAAGTAGGGAAGCAAGAACTCTATGTAGAAGAAGGGATGAATTCAAATAATGAATCTCCATCAGACAATGGGTCTTATGTATTTGAGGAGGAGAATATTATGAAAGATATGGCAGAGCCTATTCCCAATAAGCTTCCTCCAATGGCTACTCACTATACAAAATCACAAGAAGATCAACATGAAAATGATGATTGATTCAATAATAAAGGAGTTAATAGAGGCTTCCAGGAATTTATGAGCAACAAGAATAAATAGGATTTTATCCCAGATCGCATCAAAGGATGAATTTAGGACGCCTTATAACATGACAATAACTGAAGGAAAGTTCCCAAAGATGGCCAAGGGAAAGGAAGACAACAAGTTGAAAAAGAATAAGAGTAAGTACTCCTAGGCTGGCTCATCAATCTATATAGGTACCCAGAATAAGAGCCATATGAGTGAGAATTCTTCTCATGAAACATTTAAAAAGTATTGGTCCAAATTCTTCGGACAGTAACTGATCATTAATTATGGATAGTAAATTATTTTCTGTGTTTCAATGGTGTTTTGCTTTTTAGGGGTTTTGGGGTTTTGGGGTTTTGGGGTTTTGGGGTTTTGGGG